GAAACGGGGGACCTAATTCTTGCATTCTGTGCTATAAGGGTGTGGGAGATATGGGGTTGAAAGTGGTTGACTTCAAAGATGTGTAACAATGGAAGTGTCAACAATAGAAGTGTTAACAGTGGAAGTATTGAGTAACAAAGGAAGTGTTAATATAAAGCGGCATGCAAGATTCACAGGCGGTTTTTTGCGTTTTTGCGGGAAATCGAACATATTTTTAGACTCATGTAAAACTTCTCTAATTAGTCTGGAAACGGGGACCTAATTCTTGCATTCTGTGAAAACAGGTAAGATTGGCTATAATGTAATTATCTTAATCTTCACTATCATTACTTTTTGCCCACAAATAAAACCCAGCGAAGCAGGTCCTTGCAGCTAGTTTCTTATAAAAATGAATATATTTATACATTTTTAAATAAAATAACATTTTTATTATATTACAGAAAATATCTTTAAGAAATTAAAGATTATTAGAAATGTAAAAGATAAAATTAAAATTAAAATTTAAATATAACATTGATCTAATAATGTAGTAAATTCATATAATTTTTTTGAATAAATAAAAAATGTTTATAATGCTAAAAGACAGTTTTTTGGATTCATTTTTATAGTTTGGAATCAATTTTTGCTCGTTATTGGAAATTAAACAATTATAATAAGACAAAATTTTATCATCAAAACAACAATTTTCTTATTAATAATGTCATGTTCTTAAAAGTAAAAAGTTCAAAAATGAATCTTGACACTTGACAGATTCAAAAATGAATCTTGTACAAACTTTTTTGAAAAATTATTTATTACTTCTAAAAACTTTAGATTAAATATTGAATAATAAATGATTTATAAATGAATAGAAAGCATTCAAAATTCATTTTATAAAGTCCAGTGATATATGATATATAAACAATTAGTTACATTTTTCTTTAATTGATGATGATGATATAAAATTTTCATTACAGAAAACTAGATTTTTAAATATAATTTAATTTTTTCAAAAAAGTTAAACAAACTTACAATTTCAAACAATTAATTATTTTTCAACTCACCTGGTCGTATACAATGTATATGATTGCAAACTTTTGAGAATCTACAATTTTCAAATGTACAATGTTCCTGTTTCATGAACTTTTTGAACCCATCTTTATTCAATTGTTCATCCTTGATATGATAAGTCTTGTGTTTTTCTAAAAGAAAATTAATAATTAATCACATTATTAAGATTTTAAATTGAAATTAAAAAAATGTACATATTATTACATTATGTACATTATATTATTATACTTGATATTATAAATGTACATATATATAAATGAATTTATAGTTTGTATATTCATATATATATATAAGATGTAAAATATGTATTATAGTCAATAATTAAAGACTTAAAATTAGATCTTTCTAAATAATTTGAATCCTAGCAAATTTAATAAATTATAATCAATGCAATAAAATGTCGGTAGATTTAGAATATAAATGTAAAAAAGTTAATTAGTGAGTTGTATTAAGGATCAAATAATACATTTTGAGTTTTTGATAAATAATAATTAGGAAAAGACATTTAAATTTGTTATAATTAGTGAATTTTCTATTAACAATTGCATTATAATGTCAATTGTTCTATTCTAATATCCTAATTAATATTATTTGCACAATAATTAAACTGGAGAAACATAATTAAAAACAAATATATTTCTTATGTTATCAATCCTTCTGACATTTTAATCAATTTAATTAACATATCTTAAAATATTTAATATTTCTATTAATATTCAATTATTTTTTTTTAGCTTTTTTTAATTTTCATTAAAAACTTAATTTTATATTCTGGTATTTTTGAATGTTTGTACATTCCAATATGTCATTAAATATTAAATATGGGATACAGATTCAGGTTTTATAATAATTTGAATGGCTAATTTCATTTTAGAAACTGATTAATAAAGATGAATTATATGATTAATAATAATGAAAAAAGATTTAGATAATGAAATGTATTATTAATTTAAAATGTCATAGTTTAATAATGTCACAATGGTTTCATTAGATCAAAATAAAACATAAGATTTTAAATTTTACATTAAAATTATTATTATATTTAGATTTTTTTAGTGTTTATATCATTTATGTTTACGTTAAACTTATTATTTTGTTTTATTCTCTTTAATATTAAAGTAAAATTTTTTTTGTGAAAATTACAATTTTTAAAAATTATTATAATAAATCTTACCCATATCAGCTTTATTTTTAAATGTAAAACTACAGCCAGGTCTACGACAATGAAAATGTGTTGTTCTTTGACCATAAAAAGAACATTCTTTGGATGCACAATCTTCAGTTGCTCTAAACCTCTGAAAACCTTCTTGGATAATTGCAGAAACTTTTCGATGATAATTAGCGTGCATTTGTACATCTGATGTACTGACATACACTCTATCACATCCTTCCTAAAATCATAAATAACAATTCATTTAAATTTTTGGTTTTATAAAATTTTAAATTCATTTTAAAATATAAAACTTTTGTTTTACAAAATTAATAAATATGCATTTTCGGTCCAAGCATTTGTTAAATTTGATGATCTCATAACGAAATATTGTGATTATATTATAAGTGTATAATATAATCAAATTTTCTGTCAGCAGAGTATATTATTTTGATGTTATTATTTATCAATATTTTTAAGGAAAATATTTTAGAATTTTCATATTTCACAATCAATAATTAGTATAAAAGATAAAATTTTCATTTAATTTTATGTATATAAAGTTTTTAATTTATCATAACAGTAATATTATATGTACTCAAACTTTAGTTTAATATATTTATGTTTTAACAATGCTTCCTCTAACAATTTCTTACATAGTTAATTTGTTTATATATAATAAATTTTACAGTTTTAAATGTAATTTGAAAGCTTACTCTTATTGAGATATTCTTAATCAATAATCATAATTAATAAAAAAAAAAAAAATTGGGAGTTTTTCATTTTGTTAAGTAAGCAATTTAAAATAAAAATTAAATAAATAAAGCATCTTTTTACGGAAAATCATGTGAATGAAAGTTATTATTAAAATAAAAGTATAAGTTCTATAACTTGAATTATTGTTTTATTGTGGATAAATATGAAAACTTCTCATTGAATTCATATAAATCTTACTTTTAAGCAATGGTAATGTGTTTGCTTTCTATTATGAGTACAGTTTGAAAATTTGTCAGAACAATCATCCATAGGACTATAACGCATAAAGCCATGTTGTAAAGATTCATCTCTTTTCTTGTGCCATTTAAAGTGACGAATCATCTCTTCCTTCTTTACAAATACCTAATACAAACAGATTTTTGTTTTATTTAGTGTACATTTTAAAACATAGAACATACTGAAAATTTAAAAAATTATATAAAAACCAAGCATAAAACTAAACTAAATCATTCTTAACTACAAATTTTACTATAAAATAACAATAATTTTCATTATATCAAAAAATTAATTTTAAATGAATGTGTGTTTTATTTAAGCACAGCATTTTCAACTTTTTCATATGGTTATTTTAGAAGAATGTATTAAAAACAAGCAAATTTCTTTTTTAAACTGAAATTATAAAAAATAAATAACTTAAAAGTATAGAATATGCATTAACAGAATTCCAAAAATTAATATATTCTCATTAAGAAAAACTTTTATGTAAATTCTGAATAATTATTAATTGCTAGTTACATAGAATTGTACTATGTAAAACAAGACTATATATATGTACCAAAAAGAAATAAACAGTTGAATCATAATAAATTCTTGAATGAACAATTGTAATTCATAATTGTAAATAAGTTAAAGCTCAAGAAAAAAATTAATAAAGTGTTAAATCTGAACTAGTACCTGAAAAATAAATTAGAATCTGAAATGTTATAAATAGAAATTTTATAATGTTCTGTATACTGTCATATTTTCTCTATAAATAGTGGATTTTATAAATTGTTTGATTTTGTTTATGAATTATAAGTTATTCTGTACAAATTATAATGATTATGCATTAACTAAATTATTCTTCTTATTACATTATTTATATTTATAACATATTACATCATTTATGTACATATTACATTATTTATAATATTAATTTCACCATATAAGTAATTTGATTATATACACTAAAATGCATAATTCAAAACTAAATAATAATTAATTGATTATTATAGCTATATTTATCTATTTTTAAATTAATAGATCTTAATTTACTTTGTGAAATTTAAATTCTTATGTATTTTAAATATAGTTTATACAAATATTAGAAAAAGTTATAAGACATTTCTTTGATTTTTATAAATATTTTAAATATATTTATGAATAATCTGACTTTATTATAGTGTTTGTTTCATAATGTCATTAAAATTTACATTATTACATGTTTATATATCACTAAGTATAACATAAGTGTATATCACTAAGTACAACATTCAATTTATATATCACCGATAAATTAAAATTAGAAATAATGATGTAAACTCTCTAGTTTTTAACAGCATATTGCAAGTTTAAATGTCACTTTCAGAATAAATGTTTGTTTGTATTTGTTGGGTTTTAATGGAATTACTCTTTAGGGGAAAGATACTATAATTACATGATACAAGACACTGAATTAAACTGGAATAAAATAAAATTAAACTTTAAGGTTAATGTATTTTTATATACTTTTTAAATTAAAAAGTAATATATTACAAGTAAAATGCTATATTTATCACTAAGTACAACATTCAATTTATATATCACCGATAAATTAAAATTAGAAATAATGATGTAAACTCTCTAGTTTTTAACAGCATATTGCTATTAAAGTAAAATTTTTTTTGTGAAAATTACAATTTTTAAAAATTATTATAATAAATCTTACCCATATCAGCTTTATTTTTAAATGTAAAACTACAGCCAGGTCTACGACAATGAAAATGTGTTGTTCTTTGACCATAAAAAGAACATTCTTTGGATGCACAATCTTCAGTTGCTCTAAACCTCTGAAAACCTTCTTGGATAATTGCAGAAACTTTTCGATGATAATTAGCGTGCATTTGTACATCTGATGTACTGACATACACTCTATCACATCCTTCCTAAAATCATAAATAACAATTCATTTAAATTTTTGGTTAAAATGTTATGCCATATTACGTTTAAAAATGATTAGGTNTTTAATAAATATAAAATATTTAAAAGAATTTTTTAATCTCTCTAATGTTTGAAACAGTCTCTTTAGAATTTTCAGGAAACTGTCTTGAAAGTTTTATGATAAATACAGAGAAAGAAAGCTAAATTTTTTCGGTATTAATTAATTTAATAATTAATCACCAAACTAAAACAGAACAGTCATTTTGATAATGTCTAAATATCTGAAAAAGCTATATATTTCATATATAAGGATGTCTGCAAACAAAAATAATTTCTTCAAGATTTAATATTTTGTTGATTAATTAATAATTAATAAAAATAATTTATAAATGGATTGTTGAATTTTAAAGAATTTTTTTTATCTTCTTGCATTTTAAGTGAACCTTATTGATTTTTTTAAAAATAATTCAAAAAGGATCATAAAGATTAACAAAACCTTAAAACATAATGAAATTTATTATAGAGTAATTATTTTTGTAATTTGGAACTAATTAAGATTTTATTTATGAAGATATTCATTAATGTTTCTACATGTAGTATTTACGAATAGTAATAATTAATATCATTTATTGATATTTAAAAAATAAACAACATAATAAATTATATTTAAGTAAAAAAAATATTTAGAATTATCTGAACAGGTAACTTATATTCTGCATTTTGTTATTCTTGAAGCACTAAAGAAAATTAGTTTTTCCAAATTTTTATTCACCTAATTCAGGGGTTGCAAACTGGTGGCCCACAGGCCGGATACCTCCTATTAAGGCTTCATATGTGACCCGTGGTCTTAATGATTTCTTTTTAAAAAATCAATGTATCTAACAACTTGAGGAGATTAAAACAGAAAAAATTCAGACATCTAACTGTTTACGTAAATGCAACAATGTCCTGGCAACAAAAGGGTCTTTGTTAGAGCCTTTTTTTATTTACAGTATGTTTTGATTTACCAAATAATATTGAATACAGGCTGTGTCTGATATACATCTATTTGACTGGCATTTTTCTGCATTTGAGTTTGTGATCTCTGATCTAAAGCATTAGAAACATGAATAAATCCTGAAAGGTCTAAATTATACCTCATATAAAAGTAAGAGAAAGTAAGATTATTTTCAAAAATAAAGAAAAATAATACCAAATTACTTTGAAATATAACAAAATTGTACTTTGTTAAAGCTCACTTTAAATACCAGTTTTCTACAGTGAGCTCCAACAAAGCAGATGTTTGTTATATATTATGATTATTTTCTGTATGAAAATATATTATAGTACAAAGTTGTTAAATAAATTATTAATGTTGTCATATTTCTCATATATTCAGAAATTTTCATTATTAACTTTTTCATCTAACCAAGTCAATCTTNTATAAATATAATTTTACCTAGTAAGATATTTCTTCCAAAGATCGCCATTACTTTCTTTCATCGTCTCACTCCGAAGATCAACTGCTTGTCCAGTGCTTATAGGTTTCTCCTCTGTGGGTGTTCCAGATATGCCACTTCCACTACTTATTTGTGACTGAGAGCCATAGTTCATATTCATATTAAATGGACTAACAATATTTACTCCAGTTAAAAGAGATGCGAATCTAGCAAAGGAATGAGGAAGGCTTTCATTCATTGAAGTATTACTTGTTGTTTCGGGGAATGTATTACTATCCGTAACAACTGTTGGACTTCCAACAGACTGGCCATTTATTCTATCTGTAATATTAGCAGGAGATGATGAAGGACCAAGATGAGGCATTGGATTTTGCATGAGTGAAATACAATTGATCCCTGGAGGGCCAGAAGGACTTGATGATGATTCTCTAGGAGACATCTATGAAAATATAATGTTTCATATTTATTATTGTTCAAAAGAATAATTTTGAGAATACTAACAGATTACTTTTACTGCCTTGGTCATTCAGCCGATATTTTTACTTTTATGAGATTTCTAAAAAATAATAATATATTTTTTATGATAATGATACAAGATAAAGTTAGTAAATATAATTGTATGCAGGATTGCTGCATACCTTGGTATATGCTGCATTACCATTTAATCAAAAAAGTGAAATTCTCCAAAGTGAAGGTTTAACCCTGTACCAACCTTCACAAGTATTAGAATAAAGAAGTACAACTTGTTGATATAAATTAATATTATTTACATCTTTAATTTCAAAACATTTTAGATAACAAATTACAGTAAATCTAATTAATTATTTTCTTAACTTTTTCATTCTGTTCTGACAAATGATTAAGAATATTACATTCAAAAAAATTAGTATTTTTTAAGAAAATAAATAAAAAAGTAAATTTTTAAGGCCAGTAAAATTTCTCTCATTAATATATTTGAATTTCATCATTACTGAATAATAATACATGTTTTAAGATGAGAAAATTATTATTTCTATAACTTGTTGAAGATATACATGTAGATATACAATAGGATAACATTAGCATTTAAGTATGAAAATTTAAAAAGGATTCAATTTATTGAATTGTTATTTTCTGCATTATAATTAAAACTTTGTGGAATAATTATATTAAATAGACATATGAGAAAAATTACAGTATTCATAATACATAATTCAATAATAACTTTGATCTGTCACTCAGTTGGAAGTAAAGAATGTATTATGTTCTATCATACCCAGATTCAGCAAACTTTGCCCTTAATCTTCCTGGGTGGTATTTCTTAACACTTCAAGTAGACAGAATTAAGGATATGTGTGCTGACTTTAAGAATCATCAATTATAAATGTAAGATATTATACAAAGTAAGATTTATATAAATATTTTATATGAAATGTTTAGAATAAAACTGAATAATTTACACAAAAAATTAAAATAAATTTCTAAACAATCTTATGTTACAAAATTACAGAGGAGCAAAATAAAAGTTTAAGATATTTATACCAATTATTTAATAATATATTCTTTTTAAATTATTTTAAAAAAATTTGAAGCTTGAATGACACTGGAGATAAAATAACATTCATTCAGAACAATCAGTATTCATTTATAACACAATTTATTGAATGGAATCAGTTAAAAGTTTTATTAAAATAATCAATCAATAGTTATGAAACTTCATAATTAATGATTTTTTTCTTTTACGAATTTTTTATGAAGTGTGAAAGATTCTATTAAATAAATAAAGTCTGTTTCTACAATTTTAAATAATCAAGTTAACTATTCTTCAATAGTTTCTTTTTAATGCTATCATGTACAAAGCTGCATTACAAGTACATCATCACATGCAAGACATAAATATGTTAATTTCGTAGGGCATGAGTTATAATGTTTTTCTGAAAATTATGACTTCATATACTAATTTACAAAATATCACAACATACAATATAATACTATAGTCCATTTAATATATATTAACGTTTTCAAATTGAAAATCAAACAGAACATGTAATAACTATATACAAAATATTTTTATAGAATCAATTATTGTCATCTTATTATATATATTCTCATATATATAATTATCATCATATACAATGATAAAAATCACATTTACAAACTTCGTACTAAAACTTAGAAAAATTAAATAGTAAATGAAATATATCCGAGCATTCTTTTTACTTCGTAATAAGCAATTTTGAAATTGAATGAAGAATAAATAGTTTTTTTATTGAGATTATAAGTAATAAAATATCAAGATAATCATTCTTAACAATTTATTTTCAATTGGTATTTATAAATAGTCATATTAGATACACTTAATAAATTTTCTTAAATTCATATGTGCTATTTTAACATTATTTTACAATTATAATCTAGTAATTGTTTAATAATTAATTTATGTAACAAAAAGAAAAATGCAATACTAGACTCTTAAATCATCTAAGAATCATTTTCTATATTATTCATAAATGATAAAAATTTGATAAAAATAAAGAAAATAATTAAGATTTAATTATCAAAATATAAAAAAACATTAATTAATTCAAATTTTACTACCATACTATCATTTAATATGTAACAGAGTTTTTAAACATGATAAATTTAAGATTTTGAAACACCCGCATTCAAAAATAATATAGAATTTAAGTTCTCCTAGATCTATTCCATACATATAAAACAGAGTCTAATATTGTAATGATTTTGTACAATAAAACTAAACAAATACACATGAGAATTCTTAAAATTATGCTTCTAAGAAATTTAAAAACAAATTCATGCCATGACAAACTGAAAAATGTAATGAGTACTTTGATTTAATAAACTGTCTATAAATGTTAAATCATTTATAGTTTTTTTGCTTTCTTCTAATGTCAATGATTTATATTCTCTTACTTTAATATTTAAATAATAATTATAACAAAATGAAAAAAGATAAAAAAAATTATTTATTAAGTAGAGCTTTATGTTAATAATATATAACAGAATAAAACATGATAAGCAATATAATATAATTTTCTTACCCATGTGCAATGATAATGTTTTTCCTTATTTTGATAAGGACAATTTACAGAGCAATTACTCATTTGGCCATTTTGTACAAAATTATAAAATGATTCTGTCACTTGTTCTTGTTGTTCATGATTACTGTAATAAATTCAAAAATTTACTTTAGTACATAATAATTGTAAACATTTTAATTTTGTGTTTAAAACTTTAAAAAGAAAATCAGATTTAAACATTTTAAAAAAGATTTAAAGCCATTATAAACTACTTGTTTTTGTAATCATTAATTTGTAATATGAGACTTAAATTTTTTTAATACAAATATAATTTTTTATAAAAATATATATCTTGATGTGAAATGTTATACTTCTAGCAACATTTCAACATAACTTGCTGCAGATTGTAATGTAATTTAATCTTGTAAACTATATTAAACCTTTACTTTAGATACTTTGAAAACATTACCTATTGAAAATTCCTTAAAAAATAATACTTATTTTTTCAAATTGCTATTTTTAAATCATTAACTTTTTTATTTTCTCAATATTCAATAAATAACAATGGCTTAAAAACACTCAACTTTTATTAAAATAAATTAATGTATTAATTGATAAGAAATATATTTTTCATGAAACAGTTATAGTATATAATTCATTAAACTCAAAAATAATAAAAATAAAAAACTTGTGTACTTTACCAGTACACAAATTTTTAAAATAAACTTTAAAAATTTATTTGTATTTAAATATTTTATTTCGTTAAACATTTCTCTTCAGTAAATATATCTTTAAGAACACAAATACAAGTTCCTAGACAAAACATAAGTTTGTCAATTTTTTTAAATACAGTGGTGCCTCGTATAATGTATGCCTCGAATAACGGATGCTGTGAATAACGGACTTTCTGTTTAGCCGTTCGTGACTCGAGCAATGAACTAGCTGCAAACAATGGACTTTCTGTTTGGCAGTTACGTGAGGTGAACAATGAACTTTCTGTGAACAAGTGCGAATGATGTTTCCACTCTTTTGCCATTGCTAATGACAATCTGCTATTTTTATAATATATTAGTATTATTAGAATATATTATTAGTATATCTGAAGTACAGAGCTCCCGTTGGGATTCGGCTTGCTCCCTTGTTTATTACGTACATCACCTCAGTNATATTCTCATTAAGAAAAACTTTTATGTAAATTCTGAATAATTATTAATTGCTAGTTACATAGAATTGTACTATGTAAAACAAGACTATATATATGTACCAAAAAGAAATAAACAGTTGAATCATAATAAATTCTTGAATGAACAATTGTAATTCATAATTGTAAATAAGTTAAAGCTCAAGAAAAAAATTAATAAAGTGTTAAATCTGAACTAGTACCTGAAAAATAAATTAGAATCTGAAATGTTATAAATAGAAATTTTATAATGTTCTGTATACTGTCATATTTTCTCTATAAATAGTGGATTTTATAAATTGTTTGATTTTGTTTATGAATTATAAGTTATTCTGTACAAATTATAATGATTATGCATTAACTAAATTATTCTTCTTATTACATTATTTATATTTATAACATATTACATCATTTATGTACATATTACATTATTTATAATATTAATTTCACCATATAAGTAATTTGATTATATACACTAAAATGCATAATTCAAAACTAAATAATAATTAATTGATTATTATAGCTATATTTATCTATTTTTAAATTAATAGATCTTAATTTACTTTGTGAAATTTAAATTCTTATGTATTTTAAATATAGTTTATACAAATATTAGAAAAAGTTATAAGACATTTCTTTGATTTTTATAAATATTTTAAATATATTTATGAATAATCTGACTTTATTATAGTGTTTGTTTCATAATGTCATTAAAATTTACATTATTACATGTTTATATATCACTAAGTATAACATAAGTGTATATCACTAAGTACAACATTCAATTTATATATCACCGATAAATTAAAATTAGAAATAATGATGTAAACTCTCTAGTTTTTAACAGCATATTGCAAGTTTAAATGTCACTTTCAGAATAAATGTTTGTTTGTATTTGTTGGGTTTTAATGGAATTACTCTTTAGGGGAAAGATACTATAATTACATGATACAAGACACTGAATTAAACTGGAATAAAATAAAATTAAACTTTAAGGTTAATGTATTTTTATATACTTTTTAAATTAAAAAGTAATATATTACAAGTAAAATGCTATATTTTAAATGTTGTATTTGTTTTAATGTATATTAAAACAAATTGGAAAGTTGAAAATTCTGTATTTATAAATAAAATTTTCATTTATTTAAAGTTATCATTTGAATATTACTGTTATTTTCTTATTTTGTTATAGGAACATATAATGAAATTTTTTATCTATTTTATCATAAATATACACTAAGAATTAATAAATCTGTAATGCTCAAAATTAAACAGCAAACATATATCATGTAAAATTTAAATTTTCTATGTTTAATCAATCAATAATATTTATGCATAACATTGAATATTAAATGGAAAAAATCAATAAATATTATTTTTATAAATTATTTATGCAGCAGAACAATTCACTGGTTTGTTGTATAAATTTTGAGCATTGCCTTCACTGGCATGAATATAATGACAAAAAATACACTATATTTGTCAGTATAAAATGTGTAACATTACAGTATTTACAAATTTTAAATAATTTATAATTTCTTTCAAAACTAAATGTAAAACATATATTCATATGTGTAATTTTCTTAAAAATAATCTCTTGTTTTATTATTCTCAGGCAGTATATTCATCATTTATTATTTGATTTCAGTAAATACATTTTTTACATACTCAAAATAAACATTTTTCTTTATAAAAACCATTTTAGAGTTATTTACATGTACAAATGTACTGATCTTTTTCTTCCAAAAAATTTCCATGTAAAAGAGATGCTTTCATTAATTATGTATCTTACTTACTAACAAATATAGTTATTTTATAAATTATTATTTTATCATATCTGATTATAAAATTTCTAGAAATAAATAAAATATTTAATTGATTATATAAATATTTTTGATCATTTAAGATAATTTGGATTAAACAGTCATATGAAATTAAAAATTCCAAAATGTACTTTTATAAATAAGATATTTATTTCTTGAAATTTTTATTTTCAAAATTATGTCTTAATTATAAAAAACCACAACAAAAAAAAAGTCTCATAACAAAATTTAGTGAATTTTATCAAAAGAAGAAATACTATATTTATAATTATTCTATTTTTGAGAAAATTCAGTTATCTGATTATTAAAGTTATGAAAAATATAATAAATATGAAATTAATGAGAAATTAGTAGATGGAACAAAAAATACTGACTTTGGAATTACAGTCCAAGCAATGAAAATGTTCCCTATAATTTAAGTCTTTACAATAATTGCTGCCACATTCCAGAGCACTTGAAAATCTGAAATATAAGCGACAACAGCTATATGCATCATAATAGCTGATGGGAAATGCAGTGCACGTTATTGCAATCAGTTTGGTTATGAAATAAATAGCAACACTCATTACGAGATCATAACGTCAATATAAGAATTGTATTTGTTACAAAATTCTCACAACGAATAAAGCTACGAGTCGAATTTTGCATTATTATTCATAAAGATTTTTAATTTTTAAATTTAGTAGTTATGATCTTATAATGAAATGAACAAAAAATAAGAAATAGCAATGCTGTTTTGCTTATTAATGCATAACTAAAAAATAAAATAATAAATCAATTATTGATTTCTTTAGTTAGGAATGAATGAATTTGTTAAGTTGTTGTTTGAATAAAATAAAAATTAATTATTATTATTTATAATCAACTCACCTTTTGACGTAACGAGAATAATCAATCGGTACAGGTTTCTGATCTTTAATAGCATTACTCGCATTTATTAATACTGCAAAATCAGAAAATTTGTAATTAATTAATATTACATTACTTTAAATTAAAATATAAAATTCACATCATAATTATGAGATGCTAATAAATTTTTCCAAGTAACAGTAAGAAAATGCTTCATTATAAGAATTTTAAAAATTTACTACTTGCTCTATCATTACAAATAACATCTTTCATAAACAAGAGTTTACATAATAAACAATAGAGCATTAATTTCCAGAATAGGAAATTTTTCTCACTGTTCTATAATAAAAAAAAATGCACTTTCTAATTTAAATAATTTTTTTAACTTTTAATAAGAAAATAATTTATTTATTTTTATTAAGTTATATAACAGAATATGATTAATATTTCAATTTTACACTTTAATATTTAATTTGAGTTTTTCTATTTCATATTTGTTAATTTATATTACATGCTTTTATTATATTGTATGAGTCTATTGTTATGATAATTGGAATAGTTTACTGAAACTGCACTAACAATAGAGAATTCTGCCACGATTTTTATGTGTATTTTACACACATTTTACAAATAAAAATTAATTTGTTTAGTAGACACAAAGCATTTAATTAATAAAATTCAAAATGTTTTATGCTTATTTGGTTAATATCAGTTTCAAAAATTTTAAGAATTTAATATTAACATTTAAAACTGAATTTTATGCATGTTTTTACATATATAAATTAAAAATTATACAACTTAAATATAAAATATTAACAAAATGCCCAACATTTAAAGCATTTCAATTTGAATAAATATTTCATTTCTATAGAAAAAAAAATTATTAATTTAAACTTGTAAAAATGGAGGACTTTTATATATTTAAATCATATAAAAATAATTAAAGAATCCATAAGACACGGTTCTTAAATATATTAAAAAATATTTTTTAATTAAATCAACTTGACCAAGACCATCAATTGCAATATCCAAAACATTTTAAACATTTAAAAATCTTTATAACTTTATAGATAAATCTAGTTAAAGAAAGATTTTAATATATTCATAAAATATTGCAACTTCTAAAGTTATAGAAACCAAATGAGTATATATTGATAGCCACAAGGCCAAGACAGTTAATTTAAGGAACCAGCCTACTGATCTGAGGGAACCAAAATCAAATCAAAGCACTTGGAATTTTTCATGGAGTGTCTGTCTTGGATATATCAGATCCCATCCCGCACCACCCATTGTGGATTTGACCTAACCCGTGATAGGTACAATTAAAAGACTCTCTTAGTGCCTATAGGCAGGAGTTAAAGAAAAAAAAAAATGGAATAAATTTTCATATTAAATTAAGTATATATTATATTTAAGATCAGTATAANTACAATTTCAAACAATTAATTATTTTTCAACTCACCTGGTCGTATACAATGTATATGATTGCAAACTTTTGAGAATCTACAATTTTCAAATGTACAATGTTCCTGTTTCATGAACTTTTTGAACCCATCTTTATTCAATTGTTCATCCTTGATATGATAAGTCTTGTGTTTTTCTAAAAGAAAATTAATAATTAATCACATTATTAAGATTTTAAATTGAAATTAAAAAAATGTACATATTATTACATTATGTACATTATATTATTATACTTGATATTATAAATGTACATATATATAAATGAATTTATAGTTTGTATATTCATATATATATATAAGATGTAAAATATGTATTATAGTCAATAATTAAAGACTTAAAATTAGATCTTTCTAAATAATTTGAATCCTAGCAAATTTAATAAATTATAATCAATGCAATAAAATGTCGGTAGATTTAGAATATAAATGTAAAAAAGTTAATTAGTGAGTTGTATTAAGGATCAAATAATACATTTTGAGTTTTTGATAAATAATAATTAGGAAAAGACATTTAAATTTGTTATAATTAGTGAATTTTCTATTAACAATTGCATTATAATGTCAATTGTTCTATTCTAATATCCTAATTAATATTATTTGCACAATAATTAAACTGGAGAAACATAATTAAAAACAAATATATTTCTTATGTTATCAATCCTTCTGACATTTTAATCAATTTAATTAATAGGTTTTTATTTGGTGCAACTTCTGGAGGAGGAAGTAACTCACAATTAAATGAACAGTATTATAAAATTGGATTAATTCCTCGCCATGCCTATTCTGTATTACACATATTTCATGACGATAATTTAAGGTAAGAATTTATTAATTAATTAGAAAATACAGTAAATTTGTTATCTCTATTATTACAAATTTAAATGAAAAATATTACTTGTTTATCATTAAAATTAAAACTGAATTGACATTATTATAATAAATAACACTGACTATAAAGGTAAAGATGTAGAAGAGAGCTTAGGGTTAAAATTAAAACTGGAGCATTCATTGGGGAAAATTTGGCAAGTGGATAGAAAAGAAAGGGGAGGCATATAGAACAAGTGTATATAAGAATTACACAAGATTAATGTATATACACCTTACAATTCTAAAGACTCATATAGATAAAAATAATAGCTTTAATAGCTTGATAACAAAAGCAATTAAACCATTTTTGGATTTTTCAATCCAAAAATGGTTTAATTGCTTTTGTTATCAAGCTATCAAAGCTATTGTTTTATTATACTATTATAGCTATTATCAATCAATCAATCAATCAACATTTATTTGCTATGGCTTTCGCCTTTACAAAGGGGGTTACAAAATCGTGCAACATTAACAGATACAAACATAATTATACATAATTTCAAAAATATTAAAACTTAGTTAATAATGTTATGTTAATATGTTTAATAAATAACAGAAAAATTTATAAACTTTAAATAACATGTCAGAGCTTAAATTATCATCGTATAAACAAAACATATCAAAATTAGTCGTTAATAATGTATCCCTTAAATGTTCAGTAATTTCACAAGATACAAATAAATGGTTCTTAATATTTTCACAGAGTCGATTACATAAAGGGCAGTTAGAATGGGCGGAAATATTCATTCTACGCCTATTTAATATAATAGTATAGTCATTAAGTCGCAATTGAATTATCAAGGATTTAATATTATAACTTAAATTTGATAATAAATAATATCGAGGTGTCCATGGAGCTATTAAGGAAGTCTCAAAAAACCTACTCTTTTGTTCAATATATTGAATGTCTTGAGCCCAGTATTTATCTTTTAATGACTGAAATATTTCAGCCATAAAAAGGTTTTTATTTGAGACCTGAATATAATAGTCAGTAGAATAACCTAATTCAGACAATAAATTTTCAACTGAGGAGGACCAAGTTACAAACGAAGAATTTCCGACTGTTAATTTCAATTTGTTATAAATCAACTTTCTAGGGTCGCAATCTGGTAACTCCAAAATTTTACTCCAGTATCTAAAAATAATCATTGTTAAACGTATAGCCATTGGTGGACGACCCAATTCAAATCTTAAGACAGGTCCAGGCACCGAACGATTAATATGAAATATCGATCTAATAAATCTCAATTGCGTCTTCTCCAATTTATCAACAAAAGATGGTCCCCAAATAGGGAACATATACCCCAAACTTGAACGTATCAAGGAATCAAACAATCGATAATACGACTTAATA